TGTTATTGTGTATATAAAAATATAAAAAAGCACACAACATAAACTTGGCTAAAAGCCAGCTAATTGAATGATTTCCATGCAAATCCATAAAAATCTAAAAGTCCGCCTTCGAAACTGTACAATAAATTCCAATTCCTGAGTTTGCAAACAAATTTAACACAATCTCCTGTCACAATTGTCTGCTAAAACGTTATTTAATTTGCCTTTTGCTTTAGTTTTTTTTGGATTAGTTCAAATTAATCTTTGTTTTTATTTGTGCGACGCCTCAATGCCACCGGTCTTGGTTTTTATTTAGTATTATTATTTTTTTTAGTCCACTCATGTGTTTGCATTTCCTGAAATGTCAAAAGCGAGCTAACTAAGGCACGTTATATAAAGATATAAGTATCAATAGATACTCTCGGACGAAGTTAAAATTTGGGCAATCGAAACATAAATATTTAAATGAAGTTTAAAAATTATGCAACTCGAATTGTGTATTACTTTTTGTGCCTTAGAAAGAATATAATGCATGAATGAATTATATTAACTAAATATTCCAGTATTCTATAAATATTTATACATATTTATAAATAAATATATCGTTTAAAAAAGCTGCTAGTCTAGCTCTAAAATAAATGCCAAGCCCTGTCTCTCAGCTAAACGTCTTATTCAGTTAGAGCATAGTATAAAATCTTACTGATTGGCTGATTAATCTAACAAATCTTCCATATATGTTTTAATCGAATTCGACAATTAAGTAATTAAATGAATATTCGAAGAGTTTCTTAATTCCACAGCAAGTGGTTCATTTCATAAATGCAAAATTGACTAATCAAGTTTTTTTTTTTGGATTTCTCAGTTAATTAAATGTGCTAAATAAATTAGCGAAATTTGATAAGAACGAATGTCAACTGAATTTCAGACGGAAGTACTCGACTTCTCAGCCTGCAAACGACCTTTAGGCACAGAGAAAAAGAAAAAACACAAATATTAAACAAAATCTAAAAAACAATATTAGCATTCAAAAATTCGAAAAAAAAAACTGACTGCAGCCTTCTGAAGACTTTTTTTGATTGATTGATTGATTGCAAAGTTGGTGGTGAAATTTTTTGCATTTAGTTGGCAGTTTGTTCGACTGTCAAAATGTTGATGTTTCTTGCCGCCTAAACAGCCTTCATGTCAACGCAATGCATAATTCCGAATCGGACAAAAGAAACTATATTAAAGTTTTTCGGAAATATGTCTTGTATTTCCTCTTGTTTAAAACAAAAAACGAAAGAAAAAAACAAACTGTAAACATAAATTATGCTTATCATTAAAGACAAGCAATTTGAATGCAAACTATTTGTTTAAATCTTTATTGTATTTGTTGCTATTTATGATGATATATGGCCGAAGACCTCCAGCTGCTTTGGCAAACAAGTTTTAAGTTCTGATATCATTGATAAGATATCGTATACCAACAGCTTCTTGCTGTCATTTTGACAGTTATGTCATTTGTTTCAGCATTACCATAATTTTAATTGGCTAAATATAGAGACACGCATTTTAGTTGGAGTTGTGTAAATAGTGGAGAGGGCGGAAGGTGGAAGTTCTTAAAAATTCCCACATAACTAGCTGCCTTTGTTGGCTGTTGTAATGAGCACACGTCATAGGCTTAGTTAGATTTTAATTCACGCTCTTCGCCTTTGACTAATGCATTTTTAATGAACAACAAGAAGCATAATGACATCATTTGCTTCGCTGTTCTGATTTCGAGAACTTATTATGTCAACTGGAAGACGATAAAAACCAATTAGGCTTTTCAATTTTTCATATTTTAACAGAATATTTCACATGACATTAAAGGATTGCCTTTGAATAAAATGTTGCTTTTCTTGGAAATTAAATGCCATGTCTGGGAAATGGCCCGCATGACTTGTTGTAGGCCAAGAACCTTAAGCGGCATTTTGTGGTTGATTTATTTTTCGCAAGCTGCAATGTCGCTGTAGCCGAAGGTCAGGGATGCGACGACCCCATCCTCAAGTTCAGCTGGCCACGTAGCCAAGAGAGTCATTCAACTGTTGCCAAGCGTTTCGCTGATAAGGTTGCATAAGCATCCGCATCAACGGCGATGCATGCAACCGGCGATGCTCTGTGGGGCAGCAGCTGGATGCCGCCTGCAAACAAGGTCAACGCATGTTGTCGGCTTGTGTAACAGGCAGAAAGGCGGACAGGAAACTGGTGATTCATGCCCACAAATTGTGTGGCTGGCTATGTGGGGCAGGTTACCTTAAATTTTAAATTGATGGCCTCTCGAAGTTGTGTGTGTGTGTGTATGTGTGTTTGGTAAAAGGCCCGGGTCCAAACGGAACGGATCAGTCATTCGCTTGAGTCAGCGCCATCTGATGCTCCGTTAAAGTCTGGGCCAAGCATTGACATTTGATATTTTAAACTGTTCCGACTCGTCAAGGGGAATTGCAATTTACAGGCTTTCTAAATTTGGCCAGCCTGGCAAAATGTTGGCCAATTCAACGCAGCAATTGCGTTTCATTAAAGACCTGTTGACTTGGTTGGCACGCATAAAATATGTGATAAACTCAAACTATTGGCCGCTTGTTAAAAACGATACGACGTTCAGATACATATTTGTCAGACTTATTTCCAATGTTGTTAGTTGTTGCATATATTAAAAACATTTAACTCGTTTGTCGGCTTTGATTTTGGTGCTTTTTGTTCTCGTCAAAGGTCGTCTTCAAAATTTCCAACATTTTTTCCGTTCTGTTCATAAAAAACAAAACCAAAAGCGTGGGCTGCAAAAAAAAACATATCGCCAAATTTATGTTAAATTATAGACTTAAGAGAATTATTTAATGTTTTTTTGCACACAACAAAAATTATATTAATATGCCAAAAAATATGATTAATAAATTTGCTAAAGCGATACGCATGGGTCATATTTTTGTTTCAATGAAACACTGTCAAAAATGCATTTACATGTGCACTTATATATATATATATATATATATATAAATATAAACAAGTTGAATCCATTTAATACACATAAAACTCAATTTTTCACTTTTGTTTTCAATATTTTTAAGGCACAGCTTGAGCTTGGCTGGAAGTTCAATATTTTAATATATAAGCAGGGTCTTATGCTTGATCAGATATTATTTTTAGCTTAAAAATGGGCGGATATTTTAAAGAAATAAAATAATAAATGCAAAATAATAAGTGAATAAGTGAATACATGTGGGGCATTGCGGTTGGCTAAGCAACTTCCAAGTGAATAAAAAACTAAAAAAAAAATATAAATTTTAAGGCAATAACAACTCTTATGACGATTACGATTACCCTCTCTCATTTGTTTAATTTTTGAAAATTAATTTAAATATTATTTGTGTAGTGCACAACAAATGTCACTGTGGCCTAATAATTATGCACAGCGACCAAGCCCACGAGACAGCTGCGTACAGAAATCGATTCAATTCAGTAAATGTAAACCGTGCAGATTGCCTCTGCTGGGCCAAAGGTTTTGCACGATGTGCATCGATTCATATTTATACTCTGGTAGTGGGTATTATAATTTTTACGTGAAATGTGTAACGCATAGCAGGAGCTGTATCCGACCCCATAAAGTATTAATATTCTAGATCAGTATCAACAACCGAGTTGATCTTATCTTATCAACATCGGACCACTTTATCATAAAGCTGATAAAGGAAAGATTGTTATTTAAAAAAACTCAGCATTTTCAAGCTGCACTTTTCGTACATATCTGCAAAATGGAAATATCTACAAGAGTCTTAAATCTTCGGCGTGCCGAGGGTGTCCTTATTTTCTCGTTTTTACACCTTTTTTTATTGTTAATATGTAGCTACATTTTATAAATGTTTTGTCTGCGATGGCTGACTTTGCCTTGACTTAAGCATTGTCATTAACTTCATCCTGTTTACGACAGTAGCTTATTATTAGCAACTGTGTCAATTGCAGTTTTCAAGAGCAACAACTGCGCGCATCTAGTCGATCAACATTAGCTAATTGTTTCCTTTTACCCGAAATAATAATAGCGCATATGCACAACGTGTCGTATACGCAATGCCTTTGCTTTGGCTTAGTGTCAGCCGCAGCTCAGCAACTACTCACAAAATTCTAAATTCTTAAGCGGATCATCAAACGGAAGCATGTCGTCTATGAGGTGTCTCAATTAAGCCAAATGTATTAAGATTCGGCTAATCAATTTCCCATATGATCTCAGCGTTAGCTACCGTGTGAGTTCACAACGAAATTAAAAATACAAAAAAAAAAAAACAACAAATCGATGCGTGGCAAAGAAAATATTCTGATCTATGGCTGGCAATTTATTTTAATTATGGCACGACGAAAACAATTAATTCATACGGAAATCAAAAAATCGCATTCTGCATGCCCAAAACAAAAAAGGCGCTATTATGTAAGCATTAATTAAATCAACAAAACTAACCAACTATTTTTAAAATACTGCACACATTTGATATTCAAATAGTCTGCCCGATAACCGGCTGAGGCAGAGCCAAAAAAACAGCAACAACAGCCGCCTCATATGGCTGCTATCTATGGCCAATAGATCAGTTTTCGATTAGTGCTCAAAATTAAGTCAAAATAAACACGAAAAACCCGAATTTTCAATTAAAGACAAAGACTTTTAAATATATATATATATAAATTCTTTGGCAAAAAATGGAAAAAAAGAATGAATCTTAAAATTTTAATATTTTTTTGTATAAAGCACAAAAACCTGAAAGTGAAGCTGAATTCTTGAAACACGCAAGTCCACGCTCTAACTAAGTAGGGGTTGTCCGTGTCAGGCTCCGCGCGCGCCAAAGAGAGAGAGAGAGAGGAAGATAGAGAGAGAGCGAGAGAGAGAGAGAGAGTAGCAATTTATTGAGTATACGATCCGTGCTCAGCTGCAACTAAGTTAGGCTCATCTTTGCTCTTGCCCATATAAATTAACCAATGCGACGAAACAAAACTTGTTTCGAGCTACGCAAATCACACACACTCGCGCACATACACACACAGATACACACACTGGCACACGCACTTTAAACCATATTTTAGCAAGGCGCACACACACAATCAACTGTCACTGGAGCTGCTCCCAAATTCATTTGTATTGGTAAGGGGCGCTACTCTCAGGTTTGGGTCTTGGTCTTTTTATTTTTTATTTTGTAGTTTTTTTTTTTGTTTTCAGCTGCGTTGTTTATATGGCAAAGACGAGCTGCGTTCATCTTCAGTTCGTCCACATCGGTCACCACGGTATGAGCTCTAGTTAGGCTCCCTCCCCCCAAGTAAATACAGTGATCTACACTTTATTCAGTGCAAACACAAACTTAAACTGAATCAAGAGTTTCAAAAAAAAAAAAAAACAAAACTGAACTCAACCACAAGGACAACAATTGCATATGTGTTTAATTAAAAATAATTGTGCTTAAATATATTAAAAATATATTTTAAAAACTTTTTCTTCATTTTCTTTATATATTTCAAGATTGGAATTTTGGATAACAAAGTATTTTTCAATTGCAAAAATTTGTTAAAAAAGGCAAATAAATAAATAATTACTGGCGTTTCTTGTGTCAATTTACAATTGTTCGTTGCAAAATGGCGCGTGCAGTTTTTTGCATGGTGAGTGTTAAGCTTAAAGTTAAGATTAAATAAAAAATCATTTTGCTAAACATTAGTTATTAATGATAAAGCATTCAGCATTATCAAAACTTCAATTTATCTTAATTATAAGTCTTAATTGATGTCCAAGCAACATGTTGATAAAACAAAATTGCACAGCTATCTTATGAAGTAATTATTATCATATATTACGATCGTAATGCGTTAATAGGCCCCCAGCTACCGTTTTGAGTCATGGCCAAAACTGAAATTCCCGTCTGTGCATACTAACACTTAGCGCTTAGCTAAAAATTGGTAGATGAGAAATGCAAATAAATAATCGAAATATGAGTTCAGGCCGTGTTTGCTTGGAAATGCATGAAAACCAAGGCTGAGGTTATGGCACAGTCTGTAGAAATCAAATAACATTCGCGAATCTTAATTTGCAGCCAAAGTTGCTAGGCAGTATTTTATTTATATATTTTTTGGCATGCAGGTTAAGCTTCAAGTCCGGGTCAAGTTGTAACTATACTTGGGTATTTTGAAAAAAATGTATTTATACTATTCCAGGTGTTAGGCAAATACAACAAAGTATGCGTTAATAACCGGCATTTTTTCATAAATGCAAACAAACGCCGGCGAAGTATTGTTTGTTTTAGACACAGCGCCAAGTCTCGCCTAGTTTTTCAATATACATAAACAACTTGTAGGTGCTTCGTCTGGGTATTTATGTAGTATATTTTGGTCAGCTGCTAAACTGTAATTACTGAGATTTCAATTTTTTACCTCCTGTTTTTTTTTTTAAGTTTGCGTCAGCTGACAAAAATGCGGCCTGACAGTAAAAAATCACATCGAAATAAATTTGCGTATCGAACAAAAGCGCATTAAATGTTTCTTCTTTTTTTTCTACACGAATGTCATTAAATTAGCTACAATTATTGTGTTTTTTTGGGCATTTGTTCGAAGTGAGTAATTTACTTGTTGCTCTTTTTCGAATTTTATGCAAATTGGCAATTGCGTTGTTGACCAAGTTGAAGGCATGCCAAAACCCAGTTCCGGCTAATGTTAGCGGACATTTCTATTTGATGCACTATCTATGATAGAGATCATATAATAATTATGTATTTATTAGCTTAGATTTTGACAGATCACGACTGTTCCAAGGGCATTCATTAAAAACTGCGCTAAATTCATTCTAAGAATTCTAAACTTTTTCGCTGGCGCATGCTAATTGTTATAATTGCAAAGAATAAAACTTGTAACTGCGGTTGCCTTAAATTAATGAACTTAAGCTGAGGCGTGTCACGCAGCCGCACGATTGAGCACGACCTGACTGCTTAAAGATGCATTCCCTTTCCATATGGAATCAACAATTGGTAGCAGTTGCCATGTCTAATAAAACGCAGGCTAACAATTTATGACAGGTAGTCAGCAAAATACCTGAAGAAGCTGACATAATGGCACTCTAAAACACACTGCGATATCATCATGAGCAGCAGCAGCAGTAACACCTTTAGCCTAGACAAGAGCAGGTGACAAATTTTTTGGGTTCGCCTTTTTTTTTTGTCACCTGTCACGTGCCACAGTTTCTTGACCTGCTGTGCGTCTGTGGGGTTATGCGTGCCGCCAATGCCCACTTTTTTTAAATATATATATACATTTTTTTTTTATCAAGATTTCTCTGTTTGTCATCAAATGTCTGCTGAGCCAATTTCTTGGTCGCTCATGGACAAATCTTGGCCAAAGCTTGCAGGCACGTACACGGAATTTTTGTCCAATTTGTTTGCCTTGCGGTCGTCGCTCTGACTTGGCACAATTGCCCTGGCCGCATTAGTCTTACGTACAGTTTGCACAGGAAGTTATTTCTTGCCCAAAAGCAAACAGTCGTCGACAATTTTTATTAATTTTCTGCCAGTGGACAGGATGTTTCTAATTTCGTATAGTTTATTAGATTGTGAACTTAAATGCCTTTCAAGAGTATCTGCACTTCGCTGTGGCAAGTTGCGTTTTGTTTTTTATTTCCTCTAACAGAAGTTGACAGTGGAATTTTAAAATGTCGGGAATTTCTTTTTGTCTTTTGTATCTGTGCGCTGCACTTAAAGATTTCGCATTTAGATAGACTGTAGCATCAAGCTTGCCATGGTATCTGAGCAAGTGTTTTGTATTTGTATCTGCAAAGGTAGCATTCTATGTGACTCATAAAAGTCGACGGCCTAGCCGGGTGCTTAGCATGCCAAATAGGCTGGCAGCTAGTTTTATGGGCTCTATTTGGGTCTATAAACGGTTGGCTTTTTACAGTTGTTCACAGCTGTAAAGTGTGTTTATTGGCAATTGCAAAGGCATTTTTTTTTAGATTTATAGTGCTTAAGCTGAGGTTGATTTGTCCTAGTCGAACTATGTTCGACTAATGCATTTCACTTTCTACGATTACCTCACTTTTGCCATCTTTTGTTCTGAGTTCACATTCACTTTTGATGGCCGCAAATTTCTTCACTTTCAATATGGCATTTAAAAGACGCTCCTAAAGGTCTCCGTCTATGAACTTTTGTTAGCTCATCAGCCGAAGTATTTCTTATAAAAGGCAAGCGCGCTAAATTTGTTATCGCATATATATCTATAATACAAAATCTAGAAATGCAAATTAGATTTTGATATTCGTCAGCGATTAAAAAAAAAACCACAAAACGCAAATAGTTAAAGCCAAAACGAAGAACGGCTGAGTGTGAAGCGCAGATTGAGGTTTTCTCGTTTAAATAAAAACGAAAACGATATACGTAAAAGACATTTGATATATGTGTGTGTGTGGCCTGAGCAAATGTCAAAAGTCGCTGAAAGAAAGTAAAAGTTATTTGCATAATAAATAACTCCCAAACTATATAGTATATGCGTTTGCGTAGGTTTCAAAATATGTGGCCAGCAAACATGATGTCAGCTTGGGCTTGTTTTAATTAGTCGTCTGAATAGCTTTTGTTTAAATGCAACAATTAAGGCGAGTGTCAACAGTTCGAGTACATATATATCTATATATATATATATATATTGGCAAATGCTACTCTATAAACAATGTCTTGGCTAGCTGCACTTTGTCAGCCGCTGTGACTTTCGATGATATCAATGAACTCATTAGCGCTATTCTTTAATACAAATTTGTATTTGACAAACAAATTCTGCGCTAATTAAATCAGTGTCTGGATTAACTGGAAAAACCCAAAAAAAAGGCCATCGTCCAGAGCTGGTAAGACTTGTTTTTTTTTTATTTTTATCGAACTGCTAGAATTTTTGTTTGAGCTTCACTAACTCTTATTTCGTTTGATTTGTTGCTGGGTTGGTTTTTGCGATCTGTAAATGGAACTGAATATTTTAAGCTTTGTTCAGGGATTTAACATTTCACAATGCATACTTATTGAATTTCGAAATTTCACAATCCCAACAACCAAATTTATGAACTGCAGCTAAGCAATTTCAATAAAATGCAGTCGTTGTGTTGTTTGTTGTGTTTTTTCTTTTTCGTATGAATCTTGTCATCGATTAAGGCCAGACACAGCCCAAAGCAGTTGCATTTTATGATAAACATATTTCTTGGCTCTTATTGTCGTTGGCGGTTTTGTTCAGCGCCAGTTACCAGATGCCAATTGACCTTGAAGTGTAAGTCCATAAGATACCCAAAAAGAAGAGAGAGAAGATATATATAAAAAATTTCGTTGACGTTAAAAGGGCAATCAAAAGATGCTGAAACTGAAACCCAAACCAGTTTATAACGGGCCGAGAAAACTTGGGATATCATGGATTATGGTCATTATTACGTTGATCATTACGATGCTGATGATGTTGGTGATGTTGGCAAGTCGTGGTTGTAGCTTGCCATGTAAACAAACGACTGTGCGTGCGAACAACTCGATTAATATGTAGTGTATATAAATGCATGTTAGTTGGCATATGGTGGCCCGTTGCCTCTGTTGGAACGCCCAGCTGTCTCTCGATATGTCTGACAACTTATGCAAAAAACTATGCAAGATTCATAGCTCATTGTAATGGTTTTTGAGACCGCGAGACAAGGCTGAACTGGCAGAACTTTTGGGTCAGCCGCCTTTTGCTACATACGACACGTTCAATAATGCTTGCCAATGTCTTAACTGTTGAAGCGAGCTGGGGCTTGAATGATATACGAGCAGCAGAACTTGTTGGATGTTGCACGCATCTCGACAAAATGAACTTTTAAATGCCGCTTATTCGCGCTTCATCGACGCATTTGCCACTCTCAGCTGCCAGTTGCAGTTGCCAACTGGCCCACATGCCAACTGAGTATTCAAAACTAAATTGTCTTTAAAATTGATTTTACTTGAAATGCGATTTGACTGCTTGCGTCATGCATGAATTACATATGAGCCAACCGACATTTGGGGCATGCCACAAGAGCTCGCCTGTTGGGGTGCGGTAGCTGCCAGTCCCTGAATAACTAATTAAATATAACAAACGATTTTGTGCTTTAATTTTACCAATGCCGACAGCTCAATGGCTTAAAGCTTGGGTAATTAGTCATGTGGGTGGTTATAGATGGGCGCGGTTAGCCAATTAATTAACTCAATTATGATGTGTGCGCGTATGAGAGTTAGTTGATTGAAGTTTTGCCCTAATATCCCGCTGCTTTAATTTATTTTCAGCATTTGCAAACTATATTAATGCAATTTCTGATCAATTTTGCAATTTAATATGCTTTACAGATGCTTTAAAATATTCAAAAAAAATATATTACTTTCAGTAAGTACAAGCTTACAGTTGGTAAAACAAGTTTAAAGCAGCTTTAAGGTGGCCCAGTTTTTCCGTCACATCGATTAACTGCGCTTAATATTTCGTTAAAGTTTGTAAAACTTTAACAATATTTAATTTAAAGTTCTTTAACTTTTGCTTAACGCATATTTATGAGCCCCGCTCACAGTTGAGGTAAAATTCCGCATAATTTCGTAGATGAAATTTTGTAAATCTGACGAAAAGTTTTGGCTACAACATTATTAGTTTCTTTTGGTAAAAAGGTCAATGTTGTTAATGCGTCATGTGTGTGTGTGTGCAGCAAGAGGAAGAGCGACGGATATTGATGCCCCATCAAAGAAATTGTAGTCAAAACAGAAACCGTTAAAGTTGCCGCTAGATATGTGGGTGACACGACGACCTCCATTGTCAGCAGCTGCAATAAATGAATACGAAAAAAAAATTAAAAAAAAAAAAAATGAAACTTTAAAAAATGATTTTTGCTGAATATATGATTATTTTGATTTGTGGAGATTTGGGAGCAGGCGTACAGGTAGCCGACACCTTGATAGCCAGCATCAGCTGCATAAATGTTTATGAATTGATTGTCGAAGAATTTTGCAACAACTCAGTTTCCAGCCTCGTCGGCTCGGCCATTAATACAAATTTGCATTAATGAGATTCCATTGGCTCTTGTGTGTGTGTTTTAGCTGGTGCTCAGGCTTTGAGCGAATCAAGTTCAGCCTCCTTCAAATGGTTTCGTTTTTGCTTTTCATTGTATTGATGCGAGCTGCAAAGCGTATTCATATTGATATTGATATGAGCTTGGCTATATCAAATTATTGACCTTATCGCATTTCAAATTTTTGGCTCATTGGCATTAATTTTATGGGCATTAAGTCTGACAATTAAACGTGATTGTCCACGCTTGAAGATTATTAATAACCATAATTTATAAATAAATAATAAAAACTGTATTAGTTGCATTTTTACAGCTGCATTTAGCTGGGCGTTACCAAATTATATCTTTGTTTTCTGCTCATATTTCATATTTATTTTCATAGTTTTCTTTTCTGGTAACCTTAACCCAAACGCACCCAAGTCGCGCCCAGAAATTGTCGATTTATTTTGTATAAAATGGCAGATACAAATTTGTAGTAAAAGACAATAGAAAACAGTTAAACAAATAAACAAATTACCTAATAAATTCATCATCAAAATAAAACACGTGTAAAAACTAATAAATTATTTAGCTTAGTGCGAAGGTCAGTGTTCAAATTTTGTAGCTCTTGGTAGCCTCGAGTGGTGTCTATAAGCGACATATTTAAGAATTATTGCTTAATGAATTCTACTTTATTAGTATCTAGATTTTTGTTCAACATTAAAATACTATGGAACTGGTTTCTTTATAAGGAAGTTTTTTTGGTTGAGCATTGCCGGAACTCGCGATAAGTTATGTACAATGTGATTAAAAATATGTAAATTTTTCATTTTCGTAGATACGCAGGAAAGATACGCGTTTTCAGGTTATTTTCAATTTGGGTTTTTGGGTAAAAAGTGAGTGGGCACAAGTCTTGCAAAATCAACGCAGACAGCCTCTCTCTTCCTTTTGAAATAAAGGCAATTCAATTTACATTGATTTGGCTGTCATTCTATATGCCGTACAGTGCATTAATATCTAAGCTAATTGAGCATAGCTGTCAGCAGAGCTAGTAAAATCAACTGGTTTGCTGGCGCTGACATTTTTCGCTGACTATGCGTAGCTGACGGATGCGCAAACGGCTAAAAGATACAAATGTATCTACGTGTGTTCATGCAGCGTGGCAGCAATTTGCTGCGACAAATGCGCACAAAATTGACTTAGTAGGTGCAGCTAAAAGCACCGCAATTCCAGTTCAACATAAAGATTGTCATCTTTCTGACGCTTGACGGGCAAAACTTGACTGGAAACGAGAATTCGACTGTTATTTAAATACTCATACCCATATACTTATATATATATATATAACGCCTTTGACATTTTGACTGCCTATATGAGCGGCATTTTTGGGCATTATTTGGTTGCTTTAATTTTGCAAACTAAACGTATCGAACCGGATCTAAATGGTTGCTGATTTGAATACAGAAACAACAAAAGCCAGTGCCAAGCTGAGCTCTCAGACTAACTGCCTTGAATGAGGCATCTTTGCTTGAGTCATCTCTCACGCTCGCTGTGGTCTATGTAAATTAAGTCAATACACCAAAGAGACAAAAATCTGCGCGTTAAAAGCAAAAGTTGTGGGCGTGTCTTGCATGACATTGTACTGACAATAAGGCGTCCACATTTATCATGCCCCTATTGCCACTTGACAGCTGCTCATTAGGCTATTGATATGTATATTTTACCACACTTATATAATACTTATTTTTTCATTCATTTGCAGATCGTCGCTTGCATTTGGTTGCAATGCGTTTACTCTGCCAAATTTGATGCAGAGAATCGACGTCTGATTGTCGATATCAATGATCAAAAGACAACGAACCAACAATATTATTCGTCAAACTTTGACACAAGTAAGTAATGACGTTTATCAATTTAACACATACGCTTAATCACATTGAAAACATCAAAACTGAAAAAAAAAAATACCGAAAAGAATTCTGAAACTATATCAAAATTTTTCTTTCCCACACATTGAAATTGTAATATATTAGTTTGAATTTTGTATCATCGTATCCAATCTATCTATATCATAACGACTAAATCTATTTGCAAACAAAAAAAAAAAAACCATTCATGCAGTTTGTTAGTTTTTGTGTACATCGTTTCGCCCTGTAACTCGTTAATCGTATATTTACCAAGTAGCTCGATTTGTATTTTGTAATTTGTTTGTTTTTAAGTAGTTGCCCAATTTATATTATTTTTGTATTATTGAGTAGCTTTAAGTTATCGTCTTGTCCCTTGTCCCGACCCCAAACCACCAACTTCAGCAGTTTTGATCAAACTTACATATTAATACCCCGAAATCGAAAATCAAACGAAACAACAACAACAACAAACAATCAACAACAACAACAACAAACTATCTATCGTAGTTGTCTTTTTTTATAATTTACTATTTTTTACCCTTGTAGCTCAGCTTTACTAAACTCACCGTAGAAATCGTAGTCAAATTGTATATATGCTCAAAAATCAACAACAAAATCGCTCTATCTTCTATCTATCTTCTCTTTTGCGCTCTAATCTCTCTCTCTCTTTCACACACACATACACACACTCTCTCTCTCTCTCTCTGTCTCTCTCTCTTTTATATATATATATTTCTATATATTTTTTATGTATTTATTTTGTTCTTAGTGGAAAAAAGTTATACATAAAATACAAAAAAATTAAAATGGCTTCGCATACTCATACTCTCCACGCCATTATCCAATATTAAGCCCAAAACCTACCCCGCACAATCAAACCAAAAAAATAAATTATATATACAGCCAATTACAATAAAAACAAACAACACACAAGAAAACACCACAAGACATTTTCTCGCTCTCTCTTCTCTTCAACTTCATATGTACGATATGCAGGCATGTCCTCAACTCTTACAGTTACAGCGCCCAGAAGCAGGCTATATAAATTGATGTTAGGCAGTCTTAGAGTAGGTACAGAAACTTCTACAACAAACTTCACAGCACAATTTTCAGCCAACTCAAACTCTCAATCACAAAAACAACAAAACGTTATACTCTAAAAAACATTATCTTTCAACAAAAAACCCCCTCCAACAAAAAAACCAAACCGAACCAAAAACCTTATCCAATCCAACACAACAACAACAACAACCACAACAACCACAAAATACTTCAGACGCCTATCGTTATGGCTATGATGTTGGTAAGACTGGAAACTTCCACCACGAGACGCGTGGCCCTGATGGCGTCACCTATGGCTGTTATGGTCTGATCGATCCCTATCATCTGCTGCGCGCAACACACTATGTGGCCGATGTGCATGGCTACCGCACCGTGGAGCCGGAGAAACCAGTGGAGACCTTCCCGCCCGGTCTGTACAATGAGACGAACGGTGGACCGTCCAAGCCTGGCATCCTGCTGCAGTGGCACGAACTCTACTTTCCCATTGGCTGCGGCAAGTTTGAGGGCGGTGCCATCCATGATATACCCTATTTCGTAGTGGATGATGTAAGAAGACGCAGTGAGATCATCCGGATAGCTACTTATGTGCGATCGTATTTCTAGAACAAGAACAAGGGTGTTGGCACATCTGGCTCGTCGCTTTCCTCGCTTAACATACCTGTACTGAAGGGTGAGGGCCAGAAGAGTTTGCCCATTCACAAGCAGGGACCGAAGGGCCTGTTTAACACGAACGAAGGACACACAAACGAGGGACCTGGCGATCAGGCTCCGTCCTTCCATTCGGTGGCATCTCTTAGACCCGGCAGTGAGCTTTTGTCTGGGAGTACGCGGTGTTGTGGCGGATTCAAATCTTTGTGTTTCAGATGATGGAAAGTACAATCCAGAAGATAATCGCTATCAGCATATTGTGGGTCCCGAGGGCGGTTTCGGTCCTAATGGAGGATCAATTGGCCCGAACGGAGGTTTCGGTCCCAATGGAGGACCAATCGGTCCGAATGGAGGTTTCGGTCCCAATGGCGGACCCAACGGTCCAAACGGTGGCTTCGGGCCTAATGGTGGCTTTGGACCAAATGGAGGATTCGGACCGAACGGTCCTCCCGGCCCCAATGGACCCAATGGTCCCAATGGACCCAATGGACCCAACGGCCCACCTGGACCCAAAGGACCACCCGGACCACCAGGACCTCCTGGACCATTCGGCGCGGGATCGGGAGCCTCAGGAAAACCGGTATATAAGGATGGCGATCGCACTGGCAGCGGTGCTGGCAACAATATCGGTGGTGGAGATGCCACAGGCCCGGGCGGCGGTTTCGGTGTCGGTGGCGGTGACAAATACCAAACCGGCACCGGTTCCGGCGCTGGTCGCGGTGACAGATACCAAACCGGCAATGGTTCCGGCCAAGGTGATGGTGGCAAATACCGTCCTGGCACTGGTACCGGATCTGGTGATGGTGGCGCTTACCACACCGGCAGCGGCTCCGGCCCTGGCGGTGTTGGCGTCTATCCTCCCGGCAAAGGTTCCGGTGTTGGCGGCGGTGATGCCACCGGTCCTGGCCCTCTGGGCGGTGGTGGCCAATATCGCCCTGGCAGTGGTGGCAATATCGGTGACGGTGATGCCAACCATCCAGGTGGCGGTGATGGCAACCGTCCAGGCGCCGGCTACAATACTGGTACCGGCGTCGGTGGCCGCCCGGGCAGCAGCGGTAATGGCGGCTATAACGGCAACCAGCCCGGCACTAATGGCGCCTACACTCCAGACACAAATACCGGTTTTCCTGGGGCCATCAAATACACTTCAGGTTAGATCAATTGAGATTTGTAATTGCGCCGCCGCACAGACAAATTCAAAATTTGAACGAGCCGCTGAGCGGTTTTGGGGGGTCTCCACCTAAGTTAAACAATTTACAGGTATTTTTCTTACTTAATTTTTTTTCAAAATTTAATTTGCAGCCCCATACGCAAAGCGGTTTGTTCAAATTTTACGCTGCTTTGCTGGCCTAGCTCTAAGTTTCATTTATTTTATATATCTTATGCCTATATTATGCTAATGTACATCTATTTATGATTTATTTTAAGCAGTCTTGTTTTTATTTTCAGCCAAGAAACTCTGAAACCAATTTAATATCTGTTATACACCTCTTGTTATTATTTCAAAAAACACACACAAATCTCAAATACTCAGGCACACACCACACAGCAGGGCAACTTTAGGGCACCTCCCAACCCCCCCACATAGTTATCTTTATCGTTATTAGAGCACTTTTGCTAAGAGCGCACAATCAAGCAATAAATCTCTCTATATCTATCTCTACCTTTTCCTCTGTCTCTCTCCCTCTTTCTCTCTCTCTCTGTCACTCTCTGTTTATTTATATATATCTCTGTTTCTGTACTGTATCCATCTTTTGCATCTGCTATCAAAGACCAAATCGGTTTTTGATCAAAGGCAAAGCCAATTATTATTTATGTTTTCTTTATATCATCGTTTTCTGTTTTGTTTCTCAGTTCAGCATTTGGCTGAGACACTATGCACCTTCACATATTTTTCACAAGTTACTTCACACTTACTTTCTCACTCATGCACGAGAACTAAACATCTTTTACTCAGAAAGCACACGCTCCCACACACATGTACTCATGCACACATGCGAACATGCACACATGCACACATGCAAACATGCACACATGCAAACATGCGTATCACTCACTTTTTGGATGCCTTGGCACATTTGTATTATTATTTATTTACACTGCACATTGACACGCCCACATACAAAACTGCTTGAGCAATATTACTAACGGGCTATTGATTAACTAACTAATTTTTGGGTATTTTGGTTTATTTTGAAATTTAGTTTAACCGATGTAATCAATCCATATCAAGCTGATTACCCAACGCATGATGTTTTCGCATGCATTTTAGTTATTGGTGTTTGGTATCTTAGCAAATCCCCCGTAGTTGTAAGTTATCTGTAGGTCTATCAAAATATTCCTTGTAGCACCTATCCGTGTATGTAGCACTATGTACGCACTGTAATTAGTAGTTAGTTCGTAGTTACACTATGTATACGTAGTTCGAGTCGAAAAGCAGCCGATCTCTTTATACTTATCCTTACAAGTTTAATAATCGTATGCTTTGCATCGCATTACTCTCTATTCCCTATAGGAGCCGGTAAATATAATAATCCTAGGGGCGGAAGTTATAATGGTAAGGCGAGATATATAAGATCTGTCGGATTTTTGCTTACGCGTCAATTTCTTGATATAGGTATTAACGATGGAAAATACTATCACGATGATTCTGGCAAATATGTACATGTTGAAGGCCCCACTGGACCTCCAGCTCCACCATATGTGCATGTAGTCGGACCCGAGGGCGGCTATGGCGGCAACGGAGGCAATGGCGATGGTGGCGGTACCGGAGGATTTGGTCCCAACGGACCCGGCGGACCAAACGGACCCGGCGGACCCAATGGACCTGGCGGTAACTTGGAGGCATTTGTCAAGTATTAGAGTGAATCTTACATTTCTACGCTTACCTTATTTCAGGACCTAAGGGACCCAAGGGCCCACCCGGCCCTCCCGGACCACCAGGTATGTTTAAGTTAAGCTTAAGTAATAAAAAACATCGTAGGACACAATGTTTTGGGTTTTCGGTAATGGTATAAATTAAATGCCCATTCTTGCGATATAGGACCACCAGGACCTAATGGACCCGATCGTCCAGGACCCAAGGGACCAGGCGGTAAACAAGATTGATTAAAATTATACTTATGTTTTCAATACTAAATGCGGAATATCTGGTACAGGCCCACCCGGACCCCCAGGACCAACAGCCAATGGCGGACACGCTGAGCTAGGTCCACCAGGACCTCCCGGCCCAACACGTCCCGGACCCCCAGGCCCACCTGGACCACCCGGCCCAACTCGCCCCGGACCACCCGGTTAGTGGAACTAACCATAGTTTATGTACAATTAAAGAAATGTGTTATATTTTCGCACTTTCAAGGCCCAACATACAAGCCGAACGATCCCAGGCATTCGGACAAGGAGACACCTGGCTACCTGCCGCCAAATCAACCGGGTAAAATCGTACCACCCCCATCCCTTTCACTAGTCAAAGAACCGACCAATAAGCCACAAACTTTCAAGCCAAATTACGATAATTACGATAATTCTGTGATTAAGAAAGTGTCGTCAACTAAAACACCACTAACCTATATTCCACCTTCTTTCCCAAATACCGTTCCTATCCATGTTCCTGCGAATCCCACACCACGACCGCCAACCAAAACAATAACGACGACGACGATAACACAGCCAAAGGTCCCGGCTATCACTATTAATACGGATAGACCAGTAAAAGGCATTACAACAACTGTAACAACGGGTAATTTTGATATCCATAAGACAGTACCAATCGTACCCGCACCCGCACCCGCACCCGCACCAGTACCCACACCATATAGACCGATACAGCCACAACCGCCACAATTTGTCAACACATACAATCCAAAGCCGACGCCGGCGGCTCCGATCGAACCAATACGAACCACGATCAATATACCGGCATACAAGCCATCGACGCCTAGGCCATTTGAGGCAGTACCGACATACAGACCACCCATTTACCCGACCGAACCGAAACCGACGAAAACCATTTACGTTGAACCCAAGCCCATCAACAAGAATGTAACTCCACGTCCCTCTCCCCCATTGCATGTGCCGTCGTATACGCCAAACAGCGAAACCTGCGTTTGTAATGCCGATAAGACGCACTCATCAAAAACAACCTATACCTCCTCCACCACCTATCCCAACTCAAATCCGGCCTCGGTCGACTTTAATAAACAATTCAACGGCTTCAATGGAAACACGAATTTCGGCAGCATAATGAACGCCATGTCACTATCTCAATTGCCCGTCGTGCCGCAGGCACCTGGCCAACCGGCCTTCTATCCACCCGACAAGATTCCCAAGGGTGCTGTGATCGCCTTCATGCCCGTGGTCATACTGCCACAAGAGTACTACGCCAACTGCGATGAGAACACCATTAAGACGGCCAACAAATATCAGAGTATTGATCCTTTCCCGCTGGGCGTACAGCCAGCCTCCATACCGAATAGCTTCAGTGTGCACTCGATTCTCGCCGGCGCCGGACCGAAGGATCAATGCATGTGCCCATGCTCCTGCACACAGAATCTGGACAGATACCACAAAAAGCGCGAGACTAAGGCTGAGGATGTTATCGAGGCGAAAGCGGCTGTTGAGGAGCCTGTAGCGGCAGCTGCCAAGTCCGCAGAAGTGAAGGTTGAGGCACCTGTTGCTGAAGCTACCACGCCTGTCGAGATCAAGGTTGCGGCACCCGTTGCCAAAGCTGCCACGCCTGTAGAGGACAAGGCTGATGCACCAGTTGCTGAAGCTACCATCAAGGTTGAGGTCCCCGTTGCCAAAGCTGCCGCGCCTGTAGAGGACAAAGCTGAGGCACCGGTCGCTGAAGCTGCCACGCCTGTCGAGATCAAGGTTGAGGCACCCGTTGCCAAAGCTGCCGCGCCTGTAGAGGACAAGGCTGAGGCAGCCGTTGCTGGAACTGCAAGTCAAAGCTAAGAGCCGACAACGACAACTAGACATCACAATTGACGTCTGGACGTCACCGAAACTACCCAAAATCCCAGTTCCCGCTTACAAAACCCCAGCTCCCAGCACCGCCCGAAAGTCCTGCACAACTCCCCAGCCCGCAGCACCTCAACTAACCCAATTGCCAGTTAACCAGCTTTAGTCTAAGTGTTTTTATTAACGAGATTACTCTCAGCCAGGAAAGGATATAAAAAATGAAAAAAAGGAAAGAAACTAGAAAAAAAGTTTATAACTGCCCGTTGAATGTGTTCGTTTATTTTTCATTAAAAAAATAATCATTTTGCTTTTGTTTTTGTACTCGTAATACTCGAAATGCACTCCAAGCTTCCTGTCAACTAAGCCTCTAACTTCCTTTGATAAATCATTTTCTTAAATGTTTTTCGTATGCATTTTGCACATGTGGCTAAAAAGAAAGAAAAAAAAAACTATGAAAAACGATGGGAAAATTTAAATTGTTTGTGACATGTTGTTTATTATGCATTTTTGTATTTCAATGTATTAATCTGTATTTTGTTCACTTTCTTTAGATTTTAGTTGATAGTTTATTTAATTTCTATACTTAAAATGCTTGAAACGGAGAAATGAATTGTTATGTCTAAACAGAAATTATGAAATTAAATAAAATGTAAGAAAAATCAATGATTAATTAAATTTATTTGCCCCATTTGCTCTGTCTGACAAGTAAAGTAAGTTACTTGAATGCACAAAAAAAGAATTCAACTAAATTTGTGATAAGAACATATTTGACAACAATTAAATTTGACAACAATACAGCCCAAAAGTTTTAAAATCGTGGTAAACGCTTTAAAATCGGGTAAAAAAAGTAACATATTTTTATTACTTTAAAAAAAGAACGTGTAAAAGGGACACCAGGACACCAACCAACAAAAAAAAACCTCACAAATGGGACGAGATTTTTCTTTAAATCAGCCAAAATACCAGGGGCTTTATAACCATTTATAGCCATTTATAGCCGTTTATAGCGGGTTTTAGCAGAATTTTAGTAGTTAGTACTGCATACTTTCGTGCTGTCTACATAATACGTTGAAATTAAAATTAAAATTGAAATATCTCGGGTACCATATGTCCGATTTCGAAATGATATACCTCTTTCTTCTCGTACGGATCCCGGCTAGCGATTGACATTCTGAATTCTAAGAAATGGCCCAATTTGAGAAAAACTACTATGTTTTTTGCAAAAATTACAATGTTTGCTGAAAATGGCTGTGACCACGAGTCGAACGAGACCAATATTTCCAAGATCGGGGCTTATTTGGCCGAGATACAGCTATTTAAAAAACACGAAAAAATTGCGTTATCATTTTGAAGATTTTTGTTTTTTTTCCGATAATTCGGCTAAAAATGGAAAGTATACCTTTTTGAACTCGTACTGATCTCTGGAATCGACTTGCATACCACGTTTTTTGATTTTGTTCCAGTACGAATCTGCTTTAGGGAACGCTCCGCAGGGAGTCCGGGAGTCTTCCTGACGCACCACAACAGCTACAAATACTTAGGGGTACACTTAGACTTAACCTTTAGTAAACATCTCAAGTATCACAGGAGCCCTGAAAAGCAGATTAGGCAAATTCAGATGGCTGCTCAACAGTATCTTTAAAAAACAAAGTAAACAAAACCTGCCTAGCTCCTGCCTGGCGATATGGTATTCAAGTTTACGGTATTGCTGCAAAATCGCGCCTTACAAAAATCAGGGTGTTTCAAGCAAAAACGCTCCGCTATCTGTCTGGTGCCCCCTGGTATATGCGAACTTCCGATTTGGAAAAAGACCTAGGACTAGGACAAACTACATAACGCGACTGGGAAACCATCCAAATCGACTGGCTAGGCGCCTTCTCAAGAGGCGTCGAATTGGAGGAGTCCGAACGCGGAGGAGATTGCGGGGGTCTCATCCAATCGATATCCCAGATCGATATACATATATAGTCACCGTAACCTTGTTAATTTTATATTAGACTTAATAGTAGACTAAGTAGTATTGTAAATTTTCTAATAAATTTAATTTAAGTTGTTCTTATAATAACAGGAAAATCAAAATAAAGCTAAGAAATTTTTAAAAAAAAAATAAAGACGTAGACGTTAATTATTTTGCCTCGTACAACAATTACTGAGAATAAACCAAAATTTTGAAAATTACTTTTTCTTACAAATTTAACATAAATTATGTTAAAAATGATTTGTTTTGCATAACCTGAACAACTTTTCGGGCTTCAGCTTCGACTTGCGATACCCTAACAGAGGGTATATTCAGTAACAAAGTGCCTTAGCTCCTTTCGTCTTACGTTTCAATTTAATATGAAATAAAATACAAATTTTTTGCGAGCGTATTTTATATTCTGTAAGCCGTAGAGAGCGGCTTCTTGTTGTTTTTACAGCGGTTCGTTGGGCATAAAATTCTTACAACCAATGAAAAACATTTATTTAAATATGCTAAAGAGGAAAAATATATTTTTTTTTTGGCTGCCTTGGGCCATAAACAAATTTAAGACAGGTTCGAAAATCAATTGGCATTCAAAGTAAATTGAAAACAAGTTGATTAAAGTGCAATGAAAAGTCTTCCTTTTATTAACGTTCGCTGCAAGTTCATAAAAGGCCTTTTCAATTCTGATTGATATATTTGACTTCTAGTAATAGCTCTTACATAATGTGGGAAAACCTTTAAGATACGTTTAAGAGTACCAATTTGTATTATGTCTATGCAATTTGTTCACCTTGAATAATGGCTACGTAACCCAGTTTTTGTATTTTATAGTTTACGACTGTGTCAAGTCAATATTGAAAATTTGTAATTCCCGCATCGCACAAGCCCAAATATTGTTCACACGTTTCGCTAGTGTTAAAAAGATATGGATGGAGGCTATGTATATACGCTTAGATATAAGACAAAGCAGGCATACGCTGAAGCCGGCCTATTGAACTTGGCATAAGGGCAAACTAGATATGCGTTGCAGCAGCTTACGAAATTGGATTGGATATATGTAAATATTTTGTTGGTCGCCAAATAGCAGCAGCTGTTCTCAGCCCGAGTCGCTTCCTGTCGATTATATCCTGCGCACTTCTAACAAAATTGCCCAATTAGTAGCCACACCTCAGCGTTACCTGAATGAATTTTAAATGCATGGGCTCAGGCGTATTTTGGATCTTATGAAGTTTTTGGCTATTATCTTTCGGCTCGCCCTATGGCAACAAAAGCCGTTAGCAGAGTGGCAACAAAGAAAAAATTGAGAGAAAAAAATACAAGAATAGCTGGCAAATATTTGCATACGCGGCGCAAGTTTTTGGCCCCTGCCGCAGATTTGTCTCTCTGTGTGTGTGGATAATTGGAATTAAAGATATAGTATGCAAACAATATGGGTACTTGCATATCGTCTGGAGTTCTCCTAAAAAAAAAAAAACTGCCGTCGGTCCACATGAAAGAAAGCGATCTGTGTGAACCAAGTTAAACAAAACGATTTCCAGCGTTTCGTGTATTTGTGTTTGTTAAAGTTTAAAGCGCAAATATCTAAAATTAAACTCACGCACTGGCAACAAACAAGCGACAAGAGACAGCCAAAATGAGGCATTTATTTTGTCACCTGTGCCCGAGACAAATATTAATAATGATACATAATCGCACAGCCAAAAGGTCGTAAGTATAGTTTAATTTGAGGTTAAACAAAGGCATAATTCACAAGAATTTGAAAGAAAACATGACTAGGGGCACAGTTTATAGCTAGAATTATTTTTTATATAATCACAACATATCTGAGCTTACAAGTAATTGTATTTTTGATTTGTTTTTAATTTTTCAGTTAAAGAAAATATCGTTTTAGTTTTGTAGCTCGCTGTCAGCCCTGAAAACGTAACAGCTTTTGAAGATTTTCTGTTTCTTTTTTGGGGCCGCACTTGCCTTACGTGTCGTATGAGTAATAAAATTAACGTAGCCGCACGTTTTAGCTGGTCTTCGAAGTGCGACTTGGTGCTGGGGCCAAGCTTTATTATTGTTTCGGTTTGTTTGTTTCGGCGACGTTGACGTCTGCGTCGACTTGAGCGCAGCAACTCAGCCGGAAAATGAAAAATATAAATTGGCCCCCCGTCTGGGAAACAGAATTATTTAACGTACAAGCGTTGTCTCAAGCAGTTGTCTCTTCGCGCGTTCTACGGTGCCGCTGTCAAACGTATCTTTTCCATTTGCAATATATACGATTTGTCAAAAAGTACCTTTCAACATGAACGCCAAGTGTTTGCCGCTTTTAGTGAGTATTAAAAAAAACAACAAAAAGAACTCAGTTAATCCAAAAAGTGTATTATATACAAACACATATTTGTCGAAACGCAGCTGCTCGTGTGCGTTGTGGCCTGGGCTGAGCCATTGCCGGCGGCACAGGATGCCAAGGCGAGCGATTTGGCCACAGCTGAAACCTCAGCCAAACGTAAGCGACTACAAATTTATAAATAGCTTTTCCTGAAACTTGGCATTGGTTGGCGCGTCCTTAAGTGTTGAACTTGGGCGGTTTACTTGGACAGGGTTCTGGTTATCCGAACTATGGCTACAACTATCCCAGCTATGGATACAACACTGGTTACAACAATAGACCCAACAATGGCAACTATCCCAGCACTGGTTATTATCCCGGCAATACATACAATGGCGGCAGCGGCTACTATGGCAACACGGGCGGCAGTGGTTACTATCCCAGCACGGGAGGCAGCGGCTACTATCCCAGCACGGGAGGCAGCGGCTACTATCCCAGCACGGGAGGCAGCGGCTACTATCCCAGCACGGGAGGCAGCGGCTACTATCCGACGACCAATATACTGGGCTCCGCAGGCTACGGCGGCTATGGAGGTAATGGCGGCTTAAGACAATATGCGGGCTACTGGCAGCCAGAGTATAGTGGCCAGCGTTATCGTGGCTATGGTTATTACCAGGACACCGATCGCTTTGGTCTGCCGCCGGCCAGGGAGCGCGATTACTATCGTGATCGCAGCAACTATGGCGGGTATCGTGGCTATGACTAATGCTTTTGTCTGGTTGTTATTGTTGTTGTTCTTGTTGTTGTTGTTGTTATTGCTCTGCTTTGTATATAACGTGTGCTTAATGCTAATCAACTAGCAATAAAACTTTAATATCTACTAATTTAATTTAAGCAGCATTTTAATAATCTAACAAAATATTCTATAGCCCGCTGTCAGTTCTCTTTTCAGTCACATCAAGCGGCAAATGATGAAATTGTAATCGGTGCCTGGGTTACGCCCAATTGCACCCTGTAATTTGTCATTTTGTGTGGTGTCATATGCAAGCCCCCTCGGGGGTGGTGCATATAATTATGTGCTTTTGTGTGTAACTGGGCTTAATGTGTGGTAATTGTTTGTCTTAACCATGGTCATGTCATTTGCATGCCAAGCAGAAGGCGTGCAACTTCCACTGGTGCCCAAAAGTATGCCATGTTTTCGTCTTCGCACGCGTTGCCAACTTCTGATAAAAAAAAACATTGTTTTCTCTCTCACTCTTACATATTCCGCAGTACGACAGACATACGGCTAAGCGCGCCAGCTGCAGTGTGACAGAGACAGAGACACCCGCTAAGAACTTGAGCAACTGTTATGCCTCAGCAAGCAGAAATAACTACAACAACAACAACAAGCAGCAGCAGCAGCAGCAGTAATAGCATCCCCCTCCTCGTAAAGCTTAACATGCACTTTAATGCAACTGTAAACGTCGCCCGCATTGCCCGCTTTCAACTTTAACCGACTGCATTCAGCACTTTGGAACGCGTGCCTCTTCTCATGCCAAATTTGACGCCAACAAAAAAAATAAACAAAAAACAAGAAAAATGATAATAAAAAATAATAATAATAAGATAAAGCAGCTGCTGTGGCAGCGGCGGTGTCCGCGCTTGCGTCTTAGCTTAAAGCAAAGTCATGTTTATATTTTCATTCTTTTGTCTCGTCGGGCTGTGGCAAGCTGCATAGTGGGGGCGATGTAAACAAAATGCAGCGAAGCGTGTTTTTCCCCACCAAATGCCATTTTCAGTTTCATTTTCTTTATTTCGCTTTTGTTTTGGCCTTAAGCAACGGGTGTTGACAATTTTAAGTCTCTTGTTGATAAGCTAAAACCATTTTTCTTGTTATGGAATCCAAAATAAAATATATCCCACACATGTACATAAAAAATGAAGAGTGTTTGATGTATAATCTGCATAACTTAAGCAGTTGTGAAGGTCAACTCAACTATTTAGTCACGCTTTAAGGCTTACTTACTTTAGGGTAAGTTAAATTATATATATTCTATCTGACTATCATAAACTCTTCCTGTTTATGTACATATACTTATATACAGATATAGATATATACAAATTCTATGTGATCATAGCCGACTCTACCTAATTACATATTTATATATATATCTATCTGACTATCAAAAACTCCAATTATTTTTCTACATATATATATATAAATGTATATATGTATATACATTTTCTCCGACTATCATAAACTCTACCTATTTATAGACTCTTAAGCTTTTTATTTGCCAATCCACAACAGCAATATTAAAAGCTTAAGCGTATATACAAAAACATATTTTACATTCCACACCGAATAAATAGGAAAACTTTTCAGAAAATTCTAAATAATAAAAAGCCTTTGGTGTTAATTTGAGAAATTTTTTCCCATCTTTAAACAGAGCCAAAGTCAATATACAACAATTACGCATCATATGACAGCAATTAAAACTAGAGGAATTATGCCCGAGAAAATATTCCACGGCGCGATCAGCTCTTTAATCTATCAATGCGCATAGTTACTTGCCGCCGCCAACTGGTTCCATTCAGTGAATGCGACGCTTCCTTCCGCGGCGCCCATAAAAAAAATTGTGAAAAAAAAACGTACGTATGCTGTGCGGAATTTTATTTATGGCTAAATTGTTTAAAACATTTATGTGGCCATAAAAGAGAAGCCGAAATCGCACATTTTTTCCACTGCTGCAGTAAAATTATGATCAAATGGAACTAAGCAAAAATATTGCGCATACGCAACGTTGCCGCTGTAATGATTTTTGTTATTGTTGTTGCCATGTTTGTTGTTGTTTATAGAAAATGTTTTTTTTTCTTTTTATTTTTTTTTGGCACCAGCCCCTCGCACATTTAAGGCAAATAGAAATAATTAAAACATTGACAGTGCGCTGAGCGCGTGCTCGCCGCGAGTACAATAAATAAAATGATAAAGAAATGGAATTATTTATTTTGGCGAGCGGCATTAACGTCGTCACGCGTTGAAATCTAATGTTAACAACATTTTAATTAAACGCCAACAAAAACAACAACAACAACAACAGCAATTTAGCCAGATTAATGCATATGAACATTTGTTGTTGGATTATTGGGCAAACGGCAATTTGCTCAGCGGCAACAAGTGCAAATATTTGTCTGGCATAATTTTAGTGCTGCCCTCGTAAATGTAAGCCAAATTCTCGTTATTGCGCTAATAATGCAATCGCAATTATGCACCTCCTCCTTGATGGCAGCTGCTGAGCTGGAGCAGACCAATGAAACTTGTTAGCCCAAGTGTTGACGGGACTTTAAGAACTTAAGCAGCTCTTTTCACGTACTTAACAGCAACCCATTGAGCTCGGCTAGAGGAATTGCTTATTCAGGCGCTATTGCCAGCTAAAAGTTTTTGGCCTGCAGCTAAATGTCTTAAACTTTTCATAACACTTCAAAAATTTGGCTGCAGCTACAGAATTTGCGACTGCGCAAGTCTTGGCCAAGATTTCTGCGGGTTTTCTGTTTAAAGTGCTGCTCGCAAAGCGGCTTAAATATCGTGGTTTATTTGTATACAAGCCATTTGCAATTCAGTCCGCTAACTTTTGGCTAACCCATATACAAAAATAATTTTTGTTAATTTTTAAAACATTTCATTTGTCAAAAGCAGCAAAAATATGAAATTTTCTTTGGTTAATTGCACATACTGATTGTCGACAGCTGTCTGCCAAAGTTGGACAGTTTAAGTGACAGTAGAAACTCATTAGGCAGTCGAGTCTCATTAGAGAGTTGCCAGCGTGGGAGTAAACTGGTGTTAATCAGTTCGCAGAGCCAATTACTGACTTATACATGCCTGGAATAGTTTTTAGGTCAATTGCAAAACTTGCTTGAGTGTAGGAACTTAGTTAGGAATAGACAAACAGACTTGGCTATATAAAGTCACCTGTTGAATATACTGCCAAAAGGCTCAAAGCTGCCTTATACTGCCTTCCATTTTACCCACATCTCAAAACATTTTTAATGAGATTACCTTAAAATGCAACTTCACACATCTTAAACCATTTTTAATGAGGGTACCTTAAAACACAACTCAATTTATTGCAGAAATAAAATACTTTTTATGCTTTAAATAAAATTTTTTTAATTAGTTCAGCTCGCTTTTGGGTTTATACACTTTTCTGGCTGTGAATAAATTTTAAAAGGTTTTCAAACGGCATGCTTACCCAATTAGCACCTACGCGAGTTGGGCGTGCATGGAGTTGATTTAATTAAAAGAGTGCCACGTGCCCGCAGTCGGCAGGGAGTGCAAATCACTTAATATCCGTACAAAGTTCACAAAAAAAAAGGAAAATTAACGAAATTAATAAAAGTTTGGCATTGAAATGTTGTGCTTGCCAATTAAACGAACCCATTAGAATGCATAAAACAAAGACAAATTGTTAACGAAGCAGTGATAAACAATCGTCCATCCTTTGCAGAATCGCAAACGTGCCACACAGTTCCCCATGACAACAGCTAATCAAATTCGCAGCCAGTTAACATGCGTTATCAATGAATGGCACGTGCCAGGCGCCAGAGCAACGCAGACAATAAATGATTCAAATCATTATCATATCACACTTTATTTTGATTCTAGCCATTTGTTTAGCAGCAGCAGCAGGAGGCAAACATGCAGATCCGGTTGTAGGAGGCACGTAATTTATTGTGCATAAATCAATTCGGGAAGCTCGTTAATATTTTCCGATCTGCTTTCAAGCGGAATTCATGGATAATTGCTTTTCATTAAATGTGTTAACTTAATCAGGCACTTAATCAAGCCCTTAATGATGCAAACACTTCCAGAGCTGATCGAAGAGAACGGAACAATCGAAAGCCGGAGAAACCATTAAATGTCAGGAAAGTAAAAAAAATAGTAGAAGAAAAGAAAGGATGAAACCCAAATATCCCAGCAGATATATTTGTTAAATTCATCAATTGGTAAGCGAGAATGAGGGGGTTTTCTTTTTATACCCTGAATCCAATGAAAATGGGTAGAAGGGGTATAATGGTTTTGTGCAAATGTATGTAACAGGCAGAAGGAAGCTTCTCCGACCCCATAAAGTGTATATATTCTTGATTAGCATCAATAGTTGTCTCGATCTAGCCATGCTCGGCTGTCTGTCCGCCTGTCTGTGCGCCTGTCCGTCCGTCTTTCCCCGTGTATGAACGACTCAATCACAAAATCTACAAGAACGTAAACGTAAATCCTCCAGCTGCCCGCGCAGCACATGTTTGTGTGCGACCATCGATAACTTGACAAGTTATCTCTTGGGCTTTAAAGGCTAGACTAATCAAATTCTAGAATAGTATATATCAAGTAGCGCGAGCTGCACTTGGTGTTGCTAGAAGAAGGTTCAGGGTATCCCCTAGTCGGCCCCTCCCGAATAGAGCATTTTTACTCGACAATTTGCAGTCGCTGACATTTTACATACCGAAACCAAGCGTGGCATTATTGAAGTTTGCAAATTTTTAATGTTTCGCATACTATAAAATAAATAAAATTTCATTTAGGCACTTAGCATGCCGACAAACTGGTCTTTGCTATAAGAAGACTCTTTAAACGCAGACTAAATATATCGAAGTCATCGTGTGTGTGTGTTTTCACAAGTTTACGCTTCAGCAAGTAAGTTTTATAGCCAAAATTTGCTTTAATTAGTTTGTATTTAATTCAATTGACACGTAAATATTAAAGCTTCTTCTTCAGATCTCGAGCGTCTCCGAAACGTTTATAAATATTTGTGCAATCATTTAGAGTATATCAAATGTATATCAATTCGGGGCGTGGCGCCAAGCTCTTAGCTTAGGTTGTCGTTTGAGTATTACTCCCATCAACAGCTGAGCACAATTCAATTGGAAATTTATTCGATCCATTTGTCTGGATGGCTATTTAAAAGACCATCAATATAAATGATATCAAACATATCAATTGAAACACTTATTGATTGCCCGCAAACATATTAATGAACAGTTGATTGTTGCACCCTGTAAATTCCAGAGCAACAGAGCATGCTATTTCAATATACTCTGCCACATAATACAAACTTTTGTACGCCTATTAGCTTATGGTATTTTTCAGTCCATCAATGCAATTAATTTTATTGTGTGTCAAAGAGAAAACAAGTCTGGGTACGTTCTCTAAAATGCTAACCCTGCGTGTTGACCCATTTTTATCACTGATTAAACATATAGATGTGGCTGGCACATTTAATTACCTAACATAAAGATAGTCTTGTTTGCTTTTGCACAGATAACATTGAAAATCGTGCTAGATGGACTATGCAACATTCTAATTAAATTAAAATATGCCCAGGCGCAAAACAAAATCAAAATCTATTGCTCATAAATTATTTATCTATTGTTTATCACTGTGGCTATTTTATCTAAAAGTAATCGAAAGAAAATTGAAAATGATAAACACAATTTTTTTCTTCGTATCAGTTAATTTTTTGGGGCTGCAATCAAAGCTGACAACAGGCACATAAAAGTGGGTGCAGGTGCTTGGCAGGTAAATAAATACGACTTTCGCAGCACTCTGGACTGGTCTAAGGCAGAGACACGCCCAGCTTCCTAGCTGAAAGTGTGGTTGTTGTTGTTGTTTACCGAATGTGATTTTTATTGGTGTTCATTGCGAAAATTGATTAAGATATAGCTGCACCTGCTTTTGCTTGCCGTTTGCTTGTACAACCTGACGTATGCGTATTCTTTCGCTTGGCGTTCACGATAAACAGCGCTGCTTTGCGGCTCTCTCTCTGTGTGTGTGTGTGTGTGTGTTTGCGTGTGTGTGTTGTCTGTGTGCGCGCGCCTTTGTTTATGCCAGTGCCAGTGTATTTGTGTGCGTATGTGTGCGAGGAATCAATAGAAGCGTATACGCTT